CACTCAGCTCACTCGCTCGTCATGCTTTAAGGCATGTAAATCAAAGTGAATTCTTGAGGATAAATGAAATCTACAATGCGTAATGCCCACACCTCAAATAAAAGCCAGTTGTAGCCAATCTTGCCTGAAAACCACACCAATAACACTTTTTAAAATATTTTATTTGTTATTGCGCATGTGTCCACACCACAGCACACATGTAGAGGTCAAAGGACAACTTCTGGAGTGAATCCTCTCCTTCCACCTTGTTGAGGCAGGATCTCTCCAACATCTGCCCTCCAGGCCAACTGGTCCATGAGCTTCTGGGTAATTATTTTGTCCCTGATTCCTATCTCACCATGGGAGTGCTTGGATTTCAGGTGACAGACACCTCATCTGGATTTCTGTGGGCTGTGGGGATTGAACTCAGGTCCTTAAGCTTGTGCAAAAAGTGTTCTTACTTCCTGTCCCACAAATAATATGCCGTTGTTATTTACATCACGTCATCTTATTCTCTTATATCTCACTGATCCATTTATTTAGGTTACACCTATGAACTCTGGCTACCTCCACCTTCTCTTTATCAGAGACATTACCACATTTTTCCATAAAATTAACAAGATTTCATTAGAATTTGAAGCATCCAGGAGTTGTGCCTGAAGATTTTAAATTGCCAAAGAAGAAATGAAATCTGGATTTATTTCTTCAAGCATCAGTATTTATTTGTAGAATGTTAAATACAGCTTTGAATCCCGTGTGGATTTGCATTAGATTTATATTTAGATCCTCCAGAAATTTAAGCAAGAGAAAACTGACATTTTAATTCATTAGTAAAAGGCTATACAAACATCCAGTGACTTAAGACAGCATTACATCCCAATAAATGTGTCATACATTAAACAACACAACTTAAGAGTGTGTTTAACACAGCAGACCTACCAAACACCCTGGCTTTCTAACACAGAGCACTCTAAAGTCTAGCCTTCACTCATGTAGTTACCTAAAGTTGTGATCACTGATGTTGCCCATCATGAACAATAGAGTCAAATTGTGCACTTCTGGCTTGAAAAAGAATCAAAAGTCATCATCTGGAGAGCTTCTAGTGAATATATAAACTTTTCACACCATTGTCAAACTCAATAAACAGAGTCCAACCATTATGAGTGAGAGGGAACATCTTTGTTACTCTTAAGGTGATAAGGTAGAGAAAAGATGTCAAGACATGGTTGTGGTGTTTGAGAAAACCATAAAACCCATGGGCAGATTGTCAAAGCTCTGCTACACAAAATAGGCACCAGGCAGACATAAGCAGCCACATCCTGGAAAGAACCTGCTCTCCTTAACTTGTTCACAGAGACCCTTTCACAAGCTCATCTGATCATTCTCTCCAAGATAACAGTTTCCATACTGAACATGATGTACCAAGTGCTGTGTAATACATGGATTTTTTTATTTAATCCCCCAGTGACTTTATGAAAAAGTAATTATATTAATCCACAGTTTACTGTGGTAGGCTTTTGATAAAGGTTTTAAAGCACTCAGCAAAACAGATGAGTTATGAATCAAGGTCCCCCTCACATGAGAGACTGAACTCAGCTCTCTCTGCAACCTTCATAAACAGAAGCCTAAACTTGTCTAACAAGATCTTTATTCAAGAACAGTATCTATTTTCCTGGTGGCAATCATGGTAGGATTCTCAACAACTATCTGACCAATGGGTGTTATGAGATCTAGGATACTTGTGCATAAGAAAGTAAAACAGGGCATTATATAGCCAAGCTGATGTCACAGCCTTTAATTTAAAAAATATGAAAGGCATGTCAAAAAGAAACTGATATTGGACATTGAGATAAGGAAAACCACTTTCATTAAAGGGTGATGGGCACAGGTCATGTCTCTGGATATGATTTACCAAGCATATTACCTACCTGATACCCTAAAGAAAATGGGAAAATCCCGAGTTGACCCCTACCCACGAAGTGGAGTTTCATCTTAGCACTCTCACACACACACATCCGTCACCAGTACCAAAAGAAGGGAATGCTCTGAGCGAAGCCAGGCCAAACTGAAGACAGTTCAAACAGTGGTGTTGTTGGAGCCACCAACAGAAGACACAGAAGAGTGTCAGGGGATTGAATAGAATGGAAAGAGTTCAAAAGGATTTTAAGTGTAAGTGGGAATGTAGGAATGACTGACATAAAAAAAAATGAGGGATTAGGAGGATTCATAATTATGCCCAAGAAAAACTCATATCAGAATAGGTACTAAGCATCTTTTAGTAGCAGTAAAGTACCTGAAGCAAAAGAAGATGAGAAAATTTAAACAGCTTGCCAAATACCTGGGGCCTGAAGAGGAACAGGAAGAAGTGAAAGGCTCCTGCTTTGCTCCAGGAAGTCCTGAACACTGTCCTTACTGTTAATCAGGAGGATCTGATTCGGGAGGGCAGATGGGAAAGAGGAGGTGCAGAACAATTCCAAACAAGTCAAGAGAGAGCTCAGTAAGACATCAACCAGCTGCCCAGCAGGTAGTTGTAAATGAAGTACTAAAGTCAAGTCAAAATGAAATTGGAGGTGAAATACCCAGTAATTCCCCTTTCAGGAACAGATTCCATGAGTGGAGGGGTTAGAGGTTGAGGGACTGCCCAGATCAGACTGGCCTGTGCACAACTGTTGGGGATGGTCTGGATTGTTAACTGATGTAAGAGAGCCCGGCCCACTGTGGGAAGCATCATTCCCTAGGCTAAGAGTCCTGAGAAAGCAAGCTAAACACAGGCCTTTCAGCAAAGGCCTTTCAAATTACTGCCTGAGTCCCTGCCCTGACTTCTCTCAGTGATGTAGCCCTTTAGACAAAACAAATCCTTTGCTTCCCTGAGTTGCTTTTGGTCAGTGTTTTATCATGACCACAGGAATGAAACCAGAACAATGTTCTAGGCTCAACCACCAACATCAGAAATTCATATATGTCAATGATTGAAAGCTGGAATTCAGACAGATACAGGTATGTCAGACACTAAAGGCAACATTACTCATAATAGCCAAAAAGCAGAGGTAACTCAAGGCCTACTGACTTAAGCAAACAAACAAAAGTTGGTATATAGCTACAATTGAATTACCATTTAGCTTTCAAAAAAGAATGGAATTCTAATATGCACGACAACATGCATGAGTCGGGAAAACCTGATGCTAAGATAAGCCAGACACAAGAGGACAAAAGTGACCCTGGGTACATGCAGTACCTAAAATAGTCACATTCACAGAGACACGCAGTGATAGCAGCAGAGTAGCTATCAAGATTCACTGGAAAGTGAAGGCGTTATTGCTTAAAAGGCACAGTTTCAATTTGATAAAGTTCTGCTCATACAACACAAATGGACCTAATTGCACTGAACGACATCATTTAAATGGTTCAAGCAGTAAAATTTTGTTGTGTATACCTTGCTGTATGTTTGGGGGGAAAAATGAACTTGGAGTTGTCATAAGCATCTTTGTGAAAAAGCCAGAAAATGAATTAAACTTGGAGACTGTGAATTGGTCCTGATGTGCTCACATGTGCTCACATGTGCTCTGTGGCCAAGGACTGACTGGTACCATGCGTGGGCCATGTGCTTCTCATAAACTAGGAGCTGTGCTTGGTGAGTCCAGCTCTTTGCCTCATCTCAATATCACAAACAATGAGTTGGGTTACTCCAGCTACAGAGTCCTAAGCTGAGACTCCAGGGAACTAAATTGTTCAAGGTCTCTTGGCTGGTAGAAGGCAGAACCATCGTTAAAATACAGGTCTGTCTCATTCGTGAGTCTATTTTCTGTAGAATCCTGCCATGGTTGGCTACATAGAAGGAACGCAATACTGACTCAGAATACTTAAATATTAAATTGTTGCTTACGATAATAATTTCACAGTTTAATAAATCACTATATCTTTTAAGAGCATTACAGAATCAGCAACATAATCATCTCCAGACTCTGATTCCTAACGCTCTGTCGTATCTCACCAAACACGAAAGATAAATCACACAAAAGATATTATATTTATTGAGGGATCAGGGCGTGTATTTTTTTTTAAATTCTAGAAAACCTCTACAACATATTCTAGCACAAACTATTAATGGAAAGAAAAGCTAGGAAGCAATTTTTTGAGGAAATTAAACAAAAAAAACCCTTTATACTCTCTGAAGAAATAACTGCAGCAGTGTATTTGTAAATAAATTTCCACTCAGATATTAAAATGAATACTTTCTGATTCACAGCCAGTACAATGAGCCAAACCAAATGAAATAAAATTTGGCTGTCTTAGTGAACACATTCCTAAAAGTCCAGTGAGGACACTCAGTGGGTCCTGATTTCAACTATTTCATAACCACATCTGTATGAAGTGGCATGCACAAAAAAAAACAAACAAACAAACAAACAAACAAAAAATACAGGGTGCCTTAATCATGTACCCCAAACTCTGTTTTCATACTAGTCATTTCTAATTGATCTTATCGGAGACAACACCCACATCCAAATGTCATTTTGCTTTTATTTTTTTCTCTGATCCAGAAAGCATTACTAATATCCAATTGTATTCCCAGTAGATGTTTTAAAAGAAGGAATTCTAGGAAAGACAGCAGCCCTGGACAGCTTCCTTTTCTACATGAAAATGAAGTCAGGAGGAATTCTCTCTGTCCTCACAAGACCCCAATCCACTGACAATGTGGACATGATACCATTGTGTCCTGGCTCTGGAGTCCATCTGCAAAACCACAGTTGTTTCAGCCCCTGGCACAGAATCAAGTCAACAGCTGTGATAAAGGCAGGCATCATGGGATCAGTGACCATCACCTCACCACAATAACCTGGAGATAGACATCGCTTTCAGCAATGCTCTCCTAGCTCCGCCCACAAGTTAGTGCTGTTGTGCAGCCCAAAATAGGACCTTCTGAAATTGCTGCTCCTACTCTTGTGATGTCCAGCACCGGGCTTTGATCACCCTAAGAACATGGTGCCTCACCCCAAGACCTTTGATTCCAGGAGGTGTAGGGGGCCATGGGGGGAAATAATGAAAACATGGGTTAATAGAATAGAATCAAGCAAAGAAGAGGAAGGTGTAATAGTTGGGGTGATTAATTCAAAGGCAGGCAGCTCTCCTCTGACATCCTGGCCCTTCTCTTCCATACTGTTTGCTTCCAGAAAGTTCTCTAAGCTTTCTTACCACTTCAGCTCCTATAAAGACCAAACCTTGCTGTCCAGAAGTGGTAGAAAGAATTTCAAAGTGTTCCCATCTTGAGAGGCAAGGAACAGAAAATATTTTTGCATTCTGACAGACAGAATAAATATGCAGAGACCTTGAGCAGGGGTCTACCCAGAGTCCTAGTCTCTCAGAGTCAAGGGTAAGCTCATGTTCCAGTTCAGGGTCATTTTGATGCTTTAAGGGGAATGGAAAAGATTGTTGACTGAGATCAAATGTGGTACAGAATATGGAGATATAGAGGTCCTTCAAACTATTGGATCATATTTTTTAATGGACTCCTGATTCACAAAGTCCTAACTAGGAACTTCACCTGTCTTTGGGAGTTTCTCCCAAATTCTTTTATAGGCAATACTCTGACTAGACATTCTGATGAAAAGTAAGAATGGAAAAGTCAGGCATTGTGGAAGCCACAAATAGGGGCTTCCTAGCACATCTGTAGCATGAGTTCAGACATTGTTCCTTGTTTTAATTTGACCCAGTTCTCTTCAACAATACATAAACAAACAGCTTGTCTATTGTCCTGAGAAATATCAGCTAATTGAGAAGTGGTGGTGGTACATGCCTTTAATCCCAGCACTCAGGAGGCAAAGGCCAGTGGATCTCTGTGGGTTTGAGACCAACTTGGCATACAAAGTAAGTTCCAGGGCAGCCAAGGCTACACAGAGAAACCCTGTCTCAAAACAATAACAAAAACAAAAAAAGAAAAAGAAAAGAAATATCAGCTAATCAACTTTATCAACCCCAACAATTTCTTCTAACTAAGGGGAATAAACCAATGCTGGTTCCCATGGTGGCTGATTTTCTTTCTATGACACTTAGCACAATAGCCTTAAGATTTCCCCACATTCTTGCAAATGACAAGACCTCCTTTTTAATTAATACTATTTCAATTCCACACATAATTTCAAGAGTAAAGAAGAAGAAATAACAGATGTGGTCAATGAGTACAAAGTTTTGGTTCATCTAACAGCCACTGAACAGTTACAGGATGCGTGAAGAAACATGTAGTGATTTGCATGGTAAATTTCATCCTAGGTGGCATGATTAGTCTTTGTGTTTCATAGTTTTCAAGGCTGGGGACCATTTCTATGAGGTATGTTACAGTTGCCATGTAGCCTGGCAAAGGGCAAAGTAAACATCTGATGGTCATTCAGCAAAAGCAGAAGTGTCATTGAAACACAACTTCCTAAGTATCCAGACACACACACCTCCAGACAGTGCAGTCATACTTCTTCTTGAGAACATCATCTCACATGACCCTCATCACACCACTGGGAAAGCATTGTCATTTCTCAACTATCCAGGGCTAGTGAGGTCATAGATCTTAGAGAAGAACCTACTACCAGCACTTTATTATATCAGCATAATACCTAACTGCATTCTAAAACTTATCCTTATCTTCACAGATAAGTGATGCTCTCATTCCTCATTAAGGAAGCTTCTCTTTGTAGAAAATGGAGAGCATTACAGAAAGCCATAACTGGTCCAAATGCATACATCAACTGATCATGGGGTGTCCAATCTTAACTGATACATCTACAATACAGCTCCTGTACCTAGAGCTCAGGACACATCAAGGAAGACAGGGCAAAAATACTGTAAGATCCAGAGGACCAGGAGGCCTGCTGTAAGATTCTTCTCCTGGAAATGACAGGTAGGCTACACCCATGATATCTTACTAACATGACTATATAAGTAAGACCCGAAAAAATGCCAGTAGACATGCTAATGGGAAAGAGGAAAATATCATGGGGCCCTAGGACTAGACAGAAAAACTACAGACAACCAATGACTGCTGAGAGAGGATAAATTAGTCTTCCCCAAAGATGAGGCCCTAATGGGCCATCCAATACCGAATGGTCAACCCTGAAATCATATGCACATAAGTTATGTTAAGTGGATCATCAGGTTGTATTTATATATTTATTCATTTGTGTGTGAGAGAGAGAGAGACAGAGAGAGAGAATAATAAGCAAGGAAAAAAGAAGTCTGATTTGAGACATGGAAGGGGTCTTAGAGGGGACATGAGGGACGTATATTGGAGGGTGCAATTACATTCTGATTAATTTTTTCTTATCTTATAAAGAAGTAAAAAGACAACAGCCATCTGTGGCCAGAAGAACCCCAAAACAACTGAGCCCAGCTGCAAGGCAGGAAAAGCCACCTCTACGTGATTCCTGCTACCTGCAGTTTCCTCCTTGCTGACACATAGCCCAGGGAAGAAGCATGAAATTGTATTTAACAGAATCTCTCTCAAGACATGCTCAGTGTGTGTAATTACTCCTTTGTAACCTACTCCCTTTCCACTGATTAAAGATCCACTGCAACTCCAAACTCTTCTTTGAAGTAGCCATTATAAAAGGTATTGTGGTTTGTTGTTTGTTTTTTTTTTTAATTTACTAAAAATGCTAAGTTCACATAGAGTCAGAGGCCACTCTCTATAGAAAGAGGAGGCTGCATTCCTAGTTTTGTTAGGGAAAATGTGACAAGCCAAAAGAACCCTCCCTGCCACAAGACGGGGTATATTTCAACAATATGGCCATCAAAGAAATTTAAATTTTAAAATCACTGGCTCCTAATTCTCTACTATTCAAGTTAGACACTAGCATTGTTATTTAAGGGTATTTTAAGTAAGGAGAAGATAACAAAAGCTTGCACAAAAAGAAAGCTCATTCATGATGTTTTCTAAGACCTCCACGTCAGCAAGAAACCATGTCCTTGATATCTGAACAGTCTCAAAAGTATACTGCCTCCCTCTGATTAAACCAAATAATCTTCAGGCAAAAACCACAGGGAAGAGGTAGAAATCCAAGTTCTTAAAAGCTCTCATCCAGGGCTGGCAGCATGGCACAGCAATGCTTGCTACCATAGCTAAAGATCTGTGCTCGATCCCCAGGACTTAACTAACTCACACAAGTCATTCTTCGACATCTATAGCATGCACGCTCATACATATAAATAAATAAATGTAATTAAATCTTTTTAGAAACAGGTCTTTCAGCTTTGGTAGGTACTTTTCAGGTGCTGTTTGTAAGAAGCAAAAGGCATTGTTCTTATGTCACGTAGAACAATGGCCTCAAGGTTTACTCATGCCACCACCTACAATGACAGGCTCTCCTTTTGAAAGTGTTAACATCCCAACTCCAAATACAATTTCAATGGCAAGCAGGACAGATCAGTAAAAGATATTGGCTAGTAAGAACTGAGTTACCTTTCTATGGGGTAGTAATCCCGTAGATCACGCAGCAGGTAGTTTAGGAACACAGGGCTGAAGCCTGGAAATGCTGAGAGTCCATTTCGGGTGCTCTTACCATGAACAGACAACTGATATGGGAGATGCTTGAATGCAGTAGCCATTTTATCATGCTTATGTATATCAGAGTATCAGGATATAGCCTTAAGACCTATAATTTTATTTTCAAAATAGTTCAATGTTTGAAAGAGGCCATGATGAAGGCAGAAAGCAAAGCAGAATGGTGACAGTTGTTAGCTGCTCTGCCTGGCTTCAAAGCAGGAAGATATTAACCAGTCCTTGGCTGAGCCAACTGGGAGCAGAGATGACGGTGGCTCTTCAGAGTGCTGTATAGGCCAGAATGACTTCTGATCAGCAAAGCTGGAACCCTTGTGACATGACAAACATCTGGTGTCACAGACCCCAGAAACAGATGCTAAGGGGAGTATAACTGACTCACAATGCTCCCAACAGGAGTGACTCTGCTCGTGTGACTCGACCTCCTAAGAGCAGCCAACTGATCCAGGAATGTGACCCTGGGTCAGAGAAAGGCCAGAGTCCTTCACTGATATTGGCTAGTTGGAAAAACGTCACAGTCTATGACGCGTGACAGCTGTGGCCAGCCCTGCTTCCCAGCTGATGGCCAACGAAGACTGACATGAAGCTGCCATCCTGGCAGAAAGAGAGGCGAAGATGAGATCCCACCCAGTCCCAAGGCCCTAGCACCCTGGAAATCCCACCCAGTCCCAAGGCCCTAGCACCCTGGACATCCCACCCAGTCCCAAGGCCCTAGCACCCTGGACATCCCACCCAGTCCCAAGGCCCTAGCACCCTGGACATCCCACTCAGTCCCAAGGCCCTAGCACCCTGGACAGTGAACTCTTTCTATATCCCAGGCCTGTGTGAGGATAGGCAAGACGCTCACAGAGTCTACCAAAGACGTCCATTTCTTCCCCATTGCCATCAACCAAAGTACATCTCAGTTGAGGTTTGAAACTAGAACCCCTAACTAATTCATAAAATTATTTTCTAATAATAAAGGTAACTATAATCCTATAGTAAAACAATTTTCATACTATAGTTTTATTGGCCATATTTTATAAATTGTGAGAAAATATGATCTCAATTTAAGTGCAAAAATATACTAAGAGTAAAGACTATGTGAACTATTTTGTGTATGATAAGTCATGAAAATTACAAAAAGCAGGGAAAGGAAGTAAAAAAGAAAGTTAACCCACATGACTCTCTATAAAGCCTTGCTTAGAAAAATGCTTCTCTAACCTGACCCACAGACCTTTTTATAGCCATTCACCAGATTTAATTGGTAACTGAAACAAAGACAAATTTTGAAAGAAGAAACAAACCTCCACCAAGCCCTGGGAAAACAAATCAGTCTAACTTCTGACTTCTAAGCAAACGATTCAGTCTTTAATTCCTACCCCTTTCATTTCAAATACTCTACTAAGAATTTAGATGGCTTCATACCATGATCCATAAATCAGTGGTCTCTGACTCAGTTACACTCTCAGAAAAGTCACAAGTAAGACAGTACCAGAC